CCTCCCTCCAATTCCCTCCGAAGCATTGCTATCGCTCGGTCTTGATCAGCAATAATCTTGAACAGCTCCCTTTTTGACAAAGAATCACTCTCCATGGATGGGCGCTCACGGCTTTCGTCCTCCACGTCCATGCTCACTACTGGGCTTGGCCGCCGCTCACTCCCATCCTGACTGGAATTCTCCGTCCCCGCATCCTCGGCGCCTTCACTTCCCACGTTCAAGTCCTCCATCCGTCTTAACTTGCCGAACGCCCCCTTCCTGGCGCGCCAATTGTTGAAGCCAAGATACTCTCCCCTCCACGTGTCTCTTCCTTCCGCCCCACGCCAAGCGCTTGAACCCTGCAGGACGGGCGCCTAGAGGGCTAAACCCGTCCGTTAGCACTCCAACGATCAAGTCAGGTGCGACTCTAGAGAGAGAAGTGAAGAAAGAAGTTTAGTGTGAGAAAGACCGACCTGCTTAAATGCTACCTACCAAGTGCTATTTATAATACTCGAGCTTCTCGACCAAGCTCCGACCAACTTCTGCCACCAAGACTCATGTCAGCCTAGCATTAAATGCTCGGTCTCCCCTGGCGCCTACGCGCCTACACGTGGCATATCGTCCATTTTCCACGTCGGGGCGCATAGGGGGACCACTTGCCTCGTGGCGCCCTTCTGACCTTGTCCACCTGTACTCCCTTGTCTGCGAGCCTATTTTGTCGTCATGCGCCCCTTCTCCTCTATAGTCATCTAGGTCACACCCTTATGGGCCATAAATGGGCTTCAGGCCCAACAGGCTCCTAACTTTCATGAGCTCTTTTCCACTATCCCTACAAGGCCCAATAGGCTCTTAACTATCATGGGCTTCTCTCTTATTACCCCAACAAATACAAACCAAGTCATTAGCTTTAAATCAAACCATTATTGTCAAGCACCATGATGTCACTAGAGTGAACATGAAAAAGTAAGAAATGCTTACCTAGCTCCAATTTCTTACCGTAAAAATGGAAGTCATCTAGCGATTTAATAAAGAAAATCACATATGGATTGCCCTTCTTCTAAAAATCACAGTGGCACCGAAAATGATGAACCTCTAGCAGAGAAAACCAAAACAGGCAACAAAAAATTCTTCAATAATCATTCTTCATGCCCAAATGTTGATCTCATGAACACCATTCCTGGACCTGAAAAAAGAAAGCAAAAACACATTAGTCATTCTGTCTGAATAAACAAAGTCAAAACTTTGAAAGATTAGGGAAAAGTTTTAGTGTCTTACCCCTAGGTTATGTCTCTTTAACAGAGGTATCTTCAATGGACATCGTACAAAATACTTCATACAATGCCTCCACAACAACCTCAGTATCTGAAGAAATAGGAGAATAAGGTTAACGCTTAAGCAAATAAAGATGTAATCAAATTGAGAGGTGTGGTTACAACTTACCTCATTGCAGGTCTTCCATTATACAGCTTCGTGTGCGCATCATTGCTTCCATGGTTGAATAATGCAGGATGCTCCGGTGAGGGTCTAACAACCTCCCAGTATAACTAAAAAAAACTATGAGAAGCTACAAAGGTAAGTAGGATTGCCAAAAAAGTCCCTTGCAATTGCTTGCAAGGTGGAATACTTGAGACTAGGAGTGGAAATTGAGCGGGTGTGGTTACCCGCCCCACATTTTGCGAGTACTCTCATCCACAATTTCACAATTATGCTAACCACGCCCCGCACCGCAGTGGCTAGCGGGTAACCACTACCCACTGTGGGTTTGTGCGGGTTGGATGTGATTACCTTAAAAAATCCATCTTTGCAAGTATGGAGTTGACGTTGCCACTAACGTATTTGTTGTTCGTAGCTAGACTATAGTGATATACAATTGTGTTGTTCGTGGAGATACAATTTTGTATATCGATCTTACTCAATGTGGAGATTTTTTCTTTTCAAGTTTTGTGTCAGGAAGCTGTGATTTCATGTGTCACTCACTAGGGGTGGAATATAATAATTAAATATGATCTGGTATTTTCTTTCACACAAAAGAAAAAACACACATGGGTAGTTTGGATCCAGGTTTCCTAAAACCTAGGATTCTGTCCAACAACCAGAAACTAAACCTTAGAACCCATAAATCTAATACCAAATCACAATTCCTAGATCTCGACGGGTTGGGAGATGATGAAGGATGTTGTAGATGTTGGGTCCTTGCTATGGTGTCACGATGGCGATGAGAGAAGATGGATCTGGATCCTCAATTTTCCAATTCCCCATCAAGTCGTTGCGGGTGCTGGGAAGAAGCATCAGTCGCCGAGCTTGTTTCTTCCACCAGGAAGAAAGTTTCCCGTCGGGAGGATTAGCGATGGAAAGAGGAGAGGGGAAATCGACTGATTTTGGAGCACTCTAGCATCTAATGGACTCGTCTCGGGAGCGGTTGACGGTGAGCGGAGAAGCAGAGGGCGTTGACACCGACCCAGAAATCACACCAAGTCAAATCTGCAGGCACCTTTTCATGCAATGGCAACATACAACAACATGAATGAGACAACACCAAACTAAGAAAGCAACACCGCCGTTGAATCACCATCAACAGATTTGCGAAGGTGGAAGAGGCAGACTGCGCGGAAAAATTTCAGTGACGGTCGTGGCCAGACGGTTGTTCTTCTTGTTCTTCTTCTTGATCGACAGCTTTGAAATTGCCAGGAACACGAACCAACACCGAAGGGAGCAACCCAGAACCCAGACCTGGATTTTTTCAGAGATCACATGACAGAGGCGAATGAAGAAGGTTCGTAGGGAGTAGGGACGAAAGAGGGGTAAAGATTGGAAAATATGAAATAAAAACGAGAGATTTGAGAATAGCTGATCCCCGTCAGCTATTTTGAAATCCCACGTATGTAGGTTTTCAAAATTACTGATGCCCACAATCTCTCATCTTTACAAACGCGTGATTGTTTTAAAATCCTGCATAATGAGTGATTGTTTTAAAATCTCTAACAAATCTCTCATTACAAACCTACATCCAAACGACCCCACAGAGAAAAGTTCCTAAAGGTGCCTACTTTAAATTCCATGAATCGATTATTCTCCACTCTCTCGATTATAGTGTTGTATAAACTAAAAAATTATCATATAAAATTGTTTATGTGTGTATTTGATTTTGGTGCTACTTTAATTTTTAGTCTCCCACTTTTCAAATACTATTATATTATAATGTAGTATTGGTAAATAAATATAATTAGTGTTGTTATTATGGATTTTGTGGGTTAACCACGGTGGGTAGTGGGTAATCAATAACCTAAAAAATCATTAGTTTACTACCTACACCCAACTCACTACCCACAATGGGTGTGGAATGGTGTGGTTTGCGGGTTATCCACACCCTCCAACCCAAACTTCCACCCCTACTTGAGGTCGTTCAATTTTCACCACAAGAGAATATCAAACTCTGTTTGTCCGGTGAATAATATCCTCAGCAAGATAGTGGTCCAACTCAGTAGTAATCAAAGTACTTTACTATTTTTCCTTTGACTTACAAACAGCTCAACGTCAATTTCAGTGGCCGAGAAAGGTGCAAAACTAGCAGAAGAAGTTCCAATTCTAGAACCAGATTTTTTTCAACTTTGGTTTGATAATCAAGAATCAAACCACAGATAATTTGCTTGATGGTCTCAGCCACCAAATCAGTATTATTATTATTGCCAAACTTTGCAGCATAGTACTTAATAAAATGTAGGTTATGTCAATGATCCAAAACATCTGAGACAACAAGAACAAGATGGACATCATTCGGGTACTTAGCAAACTTCATGGACATCTTACTGACCATCTCAAAAATCACAGGATTGGGATCAACACCCCACTTAATCATTTTCAATATAAGATCACAAATCTTCCGGGGGGTTGGCCATTGGATACTTGGAATCGAAGAACAACACAGTAATCTCAGAGAAAATTTCAATCTTCTCAATCACACCATATGCAAATTCCCAATGAGCATTAGAAGGAACTCATGTGTATTGACTGTCTTTCATGCTCAAACGAAAAAACACATCCTTATATGGAAGAACAACATAGAGCATATGAATGTAGAATTACATATAGTTGGGCAATCAAGTAAGAGCTTCTTCACAAAAGACAATTTCAGTTGCTTAGCAGTTTCGAAGAAGGTTTGAATCCTCGTAGGTATAGAATTCCAGTAAACTACACTCTTCCAAATCAAATGTATAACATCATTGACTACATCCAAACCATTCCTCACAATCAAGTTCAGAATATGAGCTAACACCTCATATGATCCAATTTACCATCCAGCAACATATCACTCGTCACAAGCTTATTTTTCAAATGAAATATCATTGAATCATTAGTGGTGCAGTTCTCCAGTGTGATTGAGGACAATTTACTATCAATATTCCAATCCAAAACAGAATCAAACAATCTGTCAACAAGTCTTTAACTTGCGTGAGGGCTGGAACATATATAAACCTCATCATAATGTTACAAAGCTTCCAAGAGTTTTCAATAAAGTGGCCAGTTATAGCAATATACCCCCTTTTTCTTATTTGAGGCAGACCACAAATCAGTAGTCACAGAAATCCTATACAAGTTACAACTAAGAATGCTTTGATGTTTGCTACTTTGAACCTCATACAAAACCACTAATCCTTTTTCACAGTGTTTCTACAAGGAACAGTGAACTGAGATTGCAAATAACAACATAAATGCTTCAACCCTAAGTGATCAATGCTAAGTGGGTACTCATGGACCAAAATCATAGAACAGAGTTCCTTCCTACGCACATCAGAATTGTACCGAGAAGCAGAGAGTTGGGGATTACCTGCAGATCGATAGTTGGGGCCAAAAAATTTCTGAGATACATCATGTATCTTATTCTGGGTACATGATATGGTTCCTCATATGTGAAGTTCCGTTGATTGTTTCCCCACAAAGTGATTTCCTGCCGTACTTACACATTGCTTTCATTACCCCCATTAATCCTCACTCTAGTGAAGTGAGGCCCCACATCAAATGTTAACCTATGTACATTGTTCTACCAGTTCTTCCTCGTTACCATTAGCACGATGCATCAACAACAGCTTGTTCAGGTTGGACAATTTCAACAACAGGTTCCACATTCAGTTCACCTGCCATATGCAAAGACAAATGAACAAAAAAATAAAATCACAGTTAAAAATATTTGGATCATCCATGCATGTCTATTAAACCACTGATCTAAAAAATAACATCGAATAAGTAATATTGTAACTCTTACCCTAAACACTAGAGTCTGGTCCCTGCCTCTCTTTCTTTGGGAAGTTCTGGATATTAGAACTCAAAACTCGCTACCCATAAGAGAAGAAGATGGCCAGATGATGAGATAGAAAGACTCGCTCAGAAATTCCCTTTATATAGCAGTAGAAAAGGGGAAGAATGAAGAGCTAGTTCGAATTCTAACTTAGAAAGAAAAGAAATAATGAATGCTAGAAAGCATGTTGTTCCTTATTTGTGATCGATAGAACTCCAAACGACTCTTTCGGGTGTTGTGATCGACAAAATCACAGTCGAATGATTTCTCTTCCTGTCATGTGATTGGAGGAATTGAAGATGAGATATTATAGATTCCAGATTCTAGGTGAGAGTTCGATTGGACAATGACAAAAAATTGGCAAAATCGTGCGTTGATCGAGCAAATTTATTTGTGCGATCACCAATTGCTAGAGAGAGAGGATTAGGGTTTCAGAAATTGGGGGAGTCGAGAGTGAATGAGGGATAAAGAGAAGAAAGAGGTGGTTGCTATGTTAGGCGTCATTTATATATGCATGCCAAAATGACATCATTTTATGCACGGATAATCCGTCGGGTGGGTCGTGGGGCGGATATGAGTGGATCATGCCCGCCTGCGACCCACGTTTGACGGGCTACGGGTTTCCTGCCACCCGTTGACGGGCCTCAACGTCCGGGCAAAATAGGCCCATGGCAGACGCGCTTCGGGCGAATAAAGTTAATGAAACTGAACAGTGAGATGACTCATAATTAAAGTATGTGAAAGGGAGGGAGACGTCGGGCGCTTGTCCAGCAGGGGGGAATCCTTGTTAGGTTTGATGGTGCTTGGCGGAAGGACCACGGTGGAGCTATTAGCTTTGCAGGGTTCTCGGTGGACGGTGACTTGGTGTGTGCTTTTGGGAAATACTATCCAGGTTTGACGGATATGTTTCTTATGGAATTTCTAACTTTGTGGGATGCAATGCAGTGGTGTCCCTCCTTGTTATCAATTTGGTGTGGGCATTGCCAATCACTGGTCCGGCGCGTTCGAGAACGGTGGGTGGAGCATGGGATGGGCGGAGCAAATAATGGAGGAGATTCGGTTGATGCGGTTTTCGTTTAGTTCTTTCGATTGTACTTTTACCCCTCACATGTACAACCGGGCTGTCCATTTAGCACAAAAAGCTCATTCATCGACAATTCGACTAGTTATCGACTGTCGTGTTTAGGTCATAAAATGAGTGATACGGACGTGTAATTAAGGAAATAGGAATGACCGATCCCATGCTTATCCCAACCGCTAGCCAGCCACCTCTTGCGCGGAATGTAAAAGTGCAACTGTGATAATGAAAGGAAAAAAACAATGGTGGGACCTTTTCTACAAATGGCAAAAAAGCAATGAAAGAGAGAAAGCCAAGGGTTACGTGGCCCCTTCCTCTCCCACCTCTCCGTTCCATTTTGTTGAATCACCACCTCCGTTTCCCCTTCCTCCGTCCACCGCTTCCCCCCTCAACCCCAATTTATATCTCAAACAACGATCACTGCATATCCCCAAAATTTCCTCTGACAGCACCAAATCCGGCAAAAAAATGGTGGTTTCTCAAGGATCCGAACCCACTAGCGGAGTCGTCTCTCCCTGCCTCTTCCCGTCTTCCCCCGATGCAGGGGAGGAAGTGGAGTTGGTGAGCTTGGTGGTTGAAGCAGAGAAGAGCACCGAGGCTGCGGCGGCGGCTGTGGTGGTGGTGAAAGAAGAGGATCAGGAAGACGAGGATGATGACGGTGGTGATGGGGTGCTTAGCTACTTGAAAGGATTCGGCAGCGGTGGCGGTGAAGAAGTTCCGAACAACAGCAACGGCGACAGCGGCGGGTCTTCTTCCTCTGCGACGTCGTCGTCGTCTGCGGCGGTTGTTCCGAAACCGATGGAGGGATTGAACGACTCCGGCCCGCCCCCTTTCCTGAAGAAGACGTTCGAGATGGTGGACGATCGCAACACGGATCCCATCGTCTCGTGGAGCAAGAACAGGGATAGCTTCGTGGTTTGGGATTCTCACGAGTTTGCTAAGCATCTCTTGCCCAAGTATTTTAAGCACAGTAATTTCTCCAGCTTCATTCGCCAGCTCAACACCTATGTGAGTTCTGTTTTCTTCTCTCTTTTTTTTCTCTGAGGCATTTCGTCGAGCAGTTTGCTGTGTGTTGTAATCTGATTCGTTTCTAACTGTGTTTCTCCGGAAATTGGGGGTTTTTAGGGATTCCGGAAGATTGATCCGGACAGATGGGAGTTCGCCAATGAAGGGTTCCAAGGAGGGAAGAGACATTTGCTCAAGAACATCAAGAGAAGAAGCAGGTATAACAAACAGCAGCAACAACAGCAACAATCAGGTGCAACGCTCATCAATGGCGGTGATTTAGCGAAACCCAAGTTGGAGACGGAGTTCGAGAGCTTGAAGAATGATCAGGACCTGCTGAAACTGGAAATCCTGAAGCTGAGGCAGGAACAGGAGGATTCCAACAGCCAGATGGTCGCAGTAGAGGAGAGGATCCGGGCGGCAGAGTGCAAGCAACTCCAGATGTTCATGTTCTTCGCCAAAGCAACCAGAAACCCGGGCTTCATCCAGCGGCTAATCCAGAAGAGGAAATCTCAGCAGCAGTTGGGTTACAGCGGTGAAATGGCAGGAAAGAAGAAGAGGAAACTGCTGCCAACTCCTCCACGCCACCAACCTGCCGAGACCTCGGTTCACGATGATATCAACTGCAGGAACCTGGCGCGGCACCACTTGGCCACGATGCAGACCGAGCTCGACCAGGTACTGCCGGCTGATCACGACGGCGAGGCTGGAACCGGGTTGTCGTCTTCGGTCTCGAAGCTGTTGTTCTCGGCTGCTCCGGTGCCAAGTGGCGAATTCGGCAGCCCAATTGACGATCCTGATCAGAAGAACGACGATCAGGATAACCCTGACGATATCTCCTCGGTTTATGATCTGATGTCTTTGGATGAGGAAGACCCGGCTGTGGACTACACACCGGTGGAGGATGAAGATCTGGACATGAATGACTCCAAATTCTACTTGGAGTTGGAGGATTTGCTCGGCAGCAGCAGAGTTGGATTGGCTGTGTGAAGCAGCTGGGATTATGCTTAGCCTCTGGCAACGAAAAACCTGCCACTTTTGTTTGGAACTTGTGCTGTATAATAATAACCGGTATACAATGTACATACCAGCAGCAGAAAAACTTAGGGTTTGATCTATTGCTTTAGTGTAGTAGATTGTTGTTTTTTGTTTTCTCTTTGGTTTCTCCCCAACTGGTATAGGTTTCCAACTTAAGAATCCACTTTAGAACACTGCTATGAATAGATTTATTTCTTACGTTGTTTGTATGATCCTCCTCTGTACATGGAAGTTTTAAAGATACGGCTCTCTCTACAGTCGCGTTGATACGTTCACATTTTACAGTAATGCAGTGATTTTGCATCAAACTCTATTGAGGATCGTATAAATCCAACGACGTAAGCACGTCCTGATCCTACACCAGAGCTTGGCTGGGATTGATGTGTTTTCCCCACCAGCTGACAGGAAGGCAAGTTTGTTTACGTGTCCTCGAAGAAGAGGATATATAAAACACGATTAGGACTAAACCTGGAGTGGTTCCAAGCAGGGATACGTACGTTTAAGCCAAACCCAGACCATGTTAGTGCATCATTCTCTGGTTCAAGTGAAGCCACGTTGGAGGGAATTATTAGCAGAGTGAAGCGAAGGATGGTGATTGTTTGTGGTTGGTGTTGTAGCTTAATGAGGGAAGGTACTGGACCAGCCCACACCCATCTAGAACACAGACCATTTCCATATCTAGACCCTGCCGTGGGTTCCACTTCGAACTCGATCTGTTGTGAGGCCCACTTTCCCTCTCTCTTTTTTTTTACCCTCGACACTTCGAACTCAATCTAATTGTAACGGTAATTGATGATTAACGATTATACTCATAATAGATTAAACATAAATTATGGTAGTCCAATTTAGCTAATTAGTAACTGATAGGTTAACGATTAACCAATTAACCGTTGACGGTCATCCTCACAGTTAGGGTCGAAAATAATAGACATCGATGAGACACAAGCATAGGGTGAAAATAATGTGGTGTTTGAAGGCATGCAAGAACCCTACTTGTTGTAGCGACTTAGTTTCATATGAGAATAATTTCAGGGGAAGGGTTATAGAAGGAGCACGGTAAAACAAAAAAGATACACTTATGCCAAAACTCTGTTTTGCAGTACCTAGAAGAATTATATTGCAATAATGACATTTGAATGTGGTCTCATGGAGAATAAGACATCGATTTTGTGCCGGTGTCAAAACATGAATGTTCTTACTTCCGAAGTAGCGTTTTATATAGTTATCTACCTTAACATGAGATATGTTCACCTGTATGATTATGTAGAAGAGTTGGGTAATAAAAAAAGTTTGATATTCAATCAACAACATTTAAGCTTTCATGTAATTTGGTGGGGTTTATGAGTTGAGTAATTGTTGTTGGGTCCCTTTTACTTGCCAGTTTCTTTAATCAAATTTGACGGTAGAATGGTGTTATTGTGCACTCATGTAGGATTGAGTTGATTATGGATTAATATCTTTGTTAAATTATTTTTATTTAATGATAAAATTTTAAAAAGAGAATGCATATGTATGCAGAGAAAAATCTACAAAAACGCACAATTAAAAAGGAGGCCTTTTGTTTGTTAGGTTAATGATCGGTTATTTTGGTCTAATCATGCTAAATGACTTGCTAAATGGTTATTCGATAACCAATAAAACATAGTCGACTATACAATTATGGTTAACCTACAAATATAAACGGTATGGTTTATCTGTGAGTAAAAATCGTTAGTTAGGTAACCGATAACTGACTATACAGTTATGGTTATAAGTTACAACCGACCGGACCGACAAACACTCCTATAAGGTTGCTCCTCATAAAGTTCAATTAAAACTAAGTTGATTGGAAAATCAATCTTGAGATGTGTTTTCAATCGAAATTAGGGTATGCTGAAGACAGAGATTAATATTCAGTTAGACAGAAAAGGTTGAAGTGTTGCAATGTGCATTGTACATCTTTATATACACAACTAACACAAGCCACATTACCATCTAGTATCCAAAACTATAAATTACAAGTATCGACAAAGGGTTAGATCTTTAGAGGTATGAGCTATTTCCAAGCCAGGAAAGCAACAAAGTGACCCTGAGACTTTTATTTTAAAAGCCTTATCAAGTTCATTTATAATAGATTTCAATATATGTAAGTCATCCCTTATGAGAATAAAATCATCAACATAAAACTAAGGTTAAATACACTTGTATATCCAAAACTTTCAAGGTTGTGCCAATAATATCCAAATTTCTTGAAATACCACTTATATCCAATTCCGCCACATTCTTTAACGGTGTTTTTGGATATACAAGTGTATTTAACAAAAAATATATTGAGAAATGGATAGATTTGGCAAAGAACAACTTTAAAACATGGATATAAGTGGTATTTCGGGAAATTTGGATATTATTGGCACAACCGTGAAAGTTTTGGATATGCAAGTGTATTAAACCTAAAACTAAAAGGGTAAGAAACTAACTATTTGTGTTCAGTATATATAGGGTATGATATGATTTGGACTGTTGAAAACCATCTTTAATTAAAAACTCTATTAGTTTGGAATTCCATTGTCTTCTAGGCTCTAGCTTGCTTAAGTCCAAGGACTCAGGCAAACGATATATTGGATTCCTAATGTTAAGTCTTGACGTATCTTCATTTAAACCTCTTCTATTACATTTCCTTGTAAAAAAGCATAATTAACATCCAATTGCTCTATTTTCCAATCCGAAGTTAAAGAAAGAAGTGTTCTAAAGGTAGTCATTTCGCTACAGGCGAGAAAGTTTTGTGCTAGTCTATGCCTTTGGTTTGTGTACAATCTTTGACAACTAATCTTGCTTTAAAACGTTCAACGGTACCACATGGCTTATATTTGATACATTTATATCCTATAACATTTTATTCGAAAGAAAAGGTGTCATTTGCCAAGTCCAAGTAGTATTAAGGGCATCAACGTTCATGGCCTCAACCCATCTTGGGTCTAATTGTTAAGAATTCTAGATTATGAAAGATGAACTTAGAATCTGGAAGATTACTAGCAAGAGACTTTTATATGAAAAAATGTGTTCGTGGAAGACCACATCCATAGACCCAAGACAACTATTAGTGTGAAGGTCAAGGAGTTTGTAACCTTTTATACCAAAGGAGTAACACGAGGAAAATACAAGGAGTAACTCGACATTCAAATGTTGGTATGTTCTGACTCAATGTACTAACATTTGCAAGATATCCAAATAGTTTCAAGTATCATAGATCTTGGTGAGAAACTTTAAAAGTAGCAAAAGGAGAACTGTTTTTTGGTAGAGGAGAAGGAAGCATGTTAATGAGGTGAGTGAAGGACAACATAACCCCAAAAATTGCAGTGGCAAATAAGCTTGAAACATGAGTGCTCTAGCTACTGTAACTATGTGTCGTAACTAAGTGTAAAATGCCATTAGATGCATAAAAATCCAAATGTTAAATTCTTGTGAATTGTCAGTCCCTGTTGTTTTAACGACCAAATTAAAAAGGGTAACAATATAAGAACAAAAGTTAAAAAGTATTAGCATCATATTGATGCTTCATGAGGTAAATCCATGTAACTCTAGTGCTACCAATGTACCAATACATGGAATTTCTTGCTTCAAATTCCTCTAGATACTAGTAGACTTATAAAAAAATTTCCATTCCCAATCTCTCAAAGTGACCATCCAATTCTCCCGCCACTCAGCCATCGCACCACCACGACCTCTTCATCGCTCCAGGCTAGATCTTTGCCTGGATTGATCAAGCACTATGAACCAAAGGCTTTGGTATCTGCTAAGCCGACAGTGTGACTGGATCTACCACTACTCAACACCGACTCCACTGGCGGTGGACGGTTAGCAAACGAACTATTGAGATTTAGTCGAGACGATTCAGATCCTTTGCTGGAGATTGGGGGCTTCTGGGTTTTTGAAGGAAGGGTCGTCGGGAGAGTGGAATGGATAGATCTTTTTGGTTCACTTGTTGGGGTCTGTGGCACATTTTATGACTGTGTGTCTGTTAGTCCGGGTTTTGTCATTCAGCCGTTAAATTTAATTAAAAAAAATTGTAGAAAATTGAAAATTGAAATAAACCAAAAACGTCATGCTCTCAAACTGAATCTTTATTTCCATTTCACAATTTCGAAGGAAAGAGACGAGCTCTGATTAAGAAATGTCCACTATCTATACTGATAACGTTTATTAGGTACCGGTTCTCTAACGGTTTTTAGATGGTCTAATGTCGGTTGGACCACTAAAGTGCGAGTCGTTCGCATTACCGGGTTATACTCCGGTTCGGTTCTGACAACATTGGTTTTAGTACTTGAAACTTTTTTATTTTGACATTTTAGTACCTAAAATTTTCAAAATCTACCTATTGTTCCAATGTTTAGATGTCACTTAGATCCATGAATCCAATCTATCAATCAATTTGATTCGATCCATTACAGCATCAATCTATTTGATCCAAATCCACCAATCCACTTCCTCCAAATTCCTAAATTCAATAATATCTATGAATCCAATCTATTTTCCACCTCTAATCCCATTGCATGCATTAGCAAGAAGAATGTCTCCGCACCCGCACTCGTCTATGCATGTCTCGTTGTGCCTTTTAGAGTTCACTTGATGTTGATTCGATTATTCGGTTAAACTGAAAATCAGACCATATTAATCGATCCGGTTGCAACGAAACCGTTTACGCAACGGGGTTGGTTTGATTTCCGACCATGGAGAGGCTAATAAATGATTAATCATCTCGGTTCAGAATACTTTCAGATCTCCATAGAATGATCCTATAGGAAGATTGAGCAACAGGTCCGTAACTACGTAACGTAACTGCTATTTCCCTCACCCAGCTGTGAGGTCAACGGATTTCCCTGTCCCCTCAAAAGTCTACCTAGCTAGTGATGTAATAGTAGCAACTATATTCATGAATCCAATTCATTTTATCCAAATCCAACTAGATTGGTGAATTCATGAATATCCAATGGTAAATTACGGTTTAGTATATATAATTTTTTATATTTTGGTACCTAAAATTTATTTTTACACGAAAAATTTGATTGGAAAATTGCGCCTTGGTACTTAACATTTTTTATTATAATATTTTAGTACCTAAACTTTTCAAAATTTACATAATGGATCAAGACTTGGATGTCATTTGGATTTGTGGATCAATCCACCAATCCGATTCATGAATTCACAAATCCATTGAATCAAATTCATTTGATCCATGGATCCACCCAGTGGCGGATCCATGGGGCTCTAGGGGTGTCCCCCTAAAATTTGGGAACACAATTATTCAACCTCCGATAGTAGTTTGCATATGGGTAGAAAAAAAATTAAGTGGTAGCGTAAGGCTCCTAAAATTTGGGAAAATGATTATAATTCCCCAATAGTAGTTTGTGTATGGGTAAATATAAATATTTAAGTGGTTGCCTATGTGATTTGAACTTGGGTTGATGCTACTATTAGTAAACATATTTTTCATTAGACTATAACTCATTTGTTCTTGTATTCAAATCCAAATATAATAGTAAAAGGCTATTTTTTATCCCTATTATGTTCAAAAGCTAACGATTAAACCCAATTACGGGCTCCCTCTAGTCTAGTAAAATATATCGAGAGAGATTTATAAAGCATTGTTAGACACCGATTGTATTTTACAATTTTTTCAGTGTACGAAACACGTCATCCATAAATCCAATTTGGGAATTCGATATAATAGTGAATGAAGTAAAGATTACAGTGGCTTTTTCCTCCTCCTTTTCCTTTCTGGCCCTCCAATCAATGGTTTCCTTTTTTCCATTTCTTCCTTTTTCACTTTTGGGACATACAGAAAATTAAGCATCAATCATGGAGAAAGTCAGGTATGTGGCGAATGCGATTATTGAACGATCCAGAAAGACTCTTTATAATTAATAATAATATGTCCATTTGAGGAAAACAAATGTAAAGAAACAGAAATCTACGCACAGAAATTTGAAGAATTCAAACCCTCAACTTTCATTTAGGGTTTAGACTTACGCATGGGTTTATTAGGGTATAGGCGGTTTTAGTTTTCTACAATTCTTTCTTTTGGGTGCATGCATGTCGATGTTCCTTATAATCTTTCAAAGTCTTATGACAAGAGCTATATAACCACTTTCCCAGCTAGCTAGCTATTGGTATTTTGGAAGTTAGAGAGGGGATTAGTTGAAAACTGCAAACAATCCATAATTAGGTCAAATATGTTTTGCTTCTTGATCCAAAACTATTAAAAGAACCATCTTACTTTAAAAATATATATAGAAAGAAATGGGTAACATACTAATTGTGATTAGCTATTAGCATATATAATTTCCCCTTCAATACTTAAAAAAAAAACTCTTATATATCTTCAAAATCTAGAATTCCTACAATGTAAGGCCTTGTAATTTATCATAAAATTAGCACTAATCATTGAACTATAACTAAATATTTGAAGAGATCCCAATGATTTACTGCATAAATATTTGAAAATACATCGGTTCAAAACTTTCAAATATTGAACAACATACTTCAAGGGGCCTTGGTCAATTCAATGACTCGTGGCGGGAGAGTGGAGGGGGCACAACAAATCCCCGCGTCTCAATTCCCAAGTAACCAAAGCGATGGATTTGACAAAATATATCCTCTTCTTCTAATTCAACTTTAGCGCCTGAAAACTTCCCTGTATTAATATTAATTAAAGTAACATTTTTGCCAAGAGAAATATAATTATGGTTGATTGTTGATGTAGTTATTTACTTATTAATAAGGTTGGAATTTTCATGTTGCATGTTATTGATGTAAACGTGAGTGAGTATATAAGTACATTGCCGTATACACGGAACTTTCTACATAAGATAGAAGTATATCGGAACACAAGCGTGCAACTTCAACACAAGATTGTCAAATTATGAGAGTAGATGTTACCCATTGTCGAAAAGAAGGTATTGAAATATTTCTTCATGAACCTTGTAATTTTTTTAATGTTGTGTCAAAAATCAATATCAATATGTAGTTATATTGCATGTCCTTAATTACTACCGTAAATGTACTTTGATGGCAATACAAGATGTAACCAAATTATATAACTATATACATTAATACTTAACCATCCTTACTTGAATAAATATCCGAAAAAGTTTTACCAATTAATTGTGTTTCTTCAATGTGCCATGTTTGGAAAAAAAAATTCCATCATCATCCCTAAATTCAAGTCCCGCAGGTTCCGTATTTTGTAGAAATAAGTTAAAGTTTTACCAACTTATTTATTTTTAGGAATTTGTTACAAAATTTACATAAATTTATCTCTACAACGCCATGCCTACTGACGATGGTGACATCTTCAAACCTCTTTCTCTGCCCATGAACCGACCCGACCCGACCCGACCCGACCCGACCTATGCTCAATATAAATGTGTACAGATTTGATTTGAAGTACACCCAATTCTCCGGGAGCCGCCATTTCCCGGCGGCCAGATGTCGCCGTCGCCGGTGCATACACAGTGACAGAGGCCTTTATAATAAGTGGAGGCTACTTCCTTTGACCGCCTTCTTCCAATTTTCCACCTTCACGACCAAAACCTAGTTTAGTTACTACGCTTTCATTTCGTCTTTTCATTATTCAAATTCAAATCTTCCGGGAAAAGTCCTCTCCCCTCTTTTTGTAATGGGTTATGGAGACAAGTACATTGGAACAAAATCCATGAAGAAGTAGACTTTAATCCATTGAAATCATTAGGGGTCGTTTGCTTGTTGGATTTGGTACTCAAATCCCAAGTTTGATGGATTTAACATAAGTCCATTGTTTGTTGAAGGGTGCTAAATTCGTGGGGTCCACGGATTTGGTCTTTATTTTGGAACCAAATCCGTGGACCCCACGGACTTGTAAATCCCACATATTGATTTGGGATTTGCAAATTCTTGATGGTTAGTTATTTATTTAACAAATCCATCATCAAATCTAGCATGCAAACATTAGACTATTCAAATCCATAATCCAATAAATCCAACATAAATCCCAAAGTTTTTGTTAGCCAAAACCCTCATTTTTCAAATCCAACAAGCAAACGACGCTTAAATTATTAATCACCAAATCGTGCGCCCATCTCCCTTCTATCCAGTTTCACACATTCCCACAAAATCCAAGGCGAGGGTGGGTAGTTGGCTTATAATTCATTAGGAAAATGGTAATCTCATTTTCATCCTTGTAAGCCTTTAACAAGTTCATTTTCGGTTTAGACGAAACGAAAACCCGAAATGTCTGCACTCCCAATCGAAACCGAACCCTCCTCTGCCACTCACCTAATGCTTGTGGTTTCTTATCGGGGTTTCGGTTTAAACCGAAAAAAGAAAGGATAATAATGGTTGAAGGACCCAAAAAATTCCGAAAGTAATAAGGTTCTTATCGGTTTGAACATAAAATACCCTATCGCTGACTTTTCCGGTAGGACCTCCGGTACGGTATTTCAATATTTGTATCCCATCCCTATATATCTAGTATAGTTTGAAGCGTGGTAGCTGGGCAGAAGGATCAACAGTTTGTCCTGGTCGTAATTTTTTTTTATAATTGTATATGTATTGTAAGATTTTTTTACACTAATTTAGAAGTCGAGCCATGAATCACTACCATCCCTCATTAAAAACACAACTCCGCCGCTTTTCATCGACATATTTGAAATAAATTGCAATTTTATCTGCGTAGAGGAATACTTGAACCCTACATAATGCATGTACGTCGTGCACGCACACATGTCTCATCCACTTATCCCAATTACCACACATACATACATGATACATGGGTCTTTTTTTAACACATTGTTAACCATGTTTAACAATGTCATCTAAACTAATATCTCACAATAAACATGCACAACGAGATCATATATGATTTATTACAACATACACGTACCGATGTAAGAACTCCTCTTTTCTCACAATCTCAATATCCCTAAAGCTCTTCTACTAAAGAAATCTCATCTTGTTTTTTTTAAACCTTATTTGTTACGTGGGGGGGAATTAAGTCATTAACTGGGATTCTTACATATGCATGGAACATGCAAATTACTAAATTAGTGAAACGCGGTGGTCGTATAACAATAAATTAACAACTGATCATTAATAATGTGTCATTTTTCGATGTCAAGAAGTAACTGCCAAACTATTCAGTGTGGCCCAACCCACAGCCCACGCTACTCTAAAAAAAACCCAATCTTTCCAAAACAGAAACCCGACCCGACCCGACTCGGTCGTCTTCTTCCCTCGCCGAAGACTTTCCACGCCTATGCTAGTCTGCTACTTCTTTTTCAATCTGCCATGGCGGTCCCCGTCCCTCTCAACCCTTTTCTCTGCTCTCTATATATAAAACCCCACCGGTCAAGAGTCAGAAACCCCGAACCCCACCTACATTCATCCTCCCAAAACCCCAAAACCAACAGCAAAAAAAAAAAAAATCCCAATCTCCACCCCCAATTCAAAACCTCGATCAACTGGTTGGCAGCACGGGAATTTCCCCCAATTCACATATGGGTTTATCCCTGTCGGTGCTCCACTCAGCTTGGGAAGAAATCCTCCGCCAAAGCTTCCTCTCCCTCGCCTACAGCAACTTCTCCCTCATCCCCAAAAATGGCGGACTCAAATCGGAGCCCACCAATGCCCCCAACAAGTTCACCCGAACCCCCAGCGTCAAGTTGAACCTCTGCAGGCCGCAGAGGATCAAGCTTCAAAAGGATGCGAGATCAATCGTCGCAACAGGGGACAATACTGAACCGCCGCCGCCGGCGGCGGCGGCGATCATGTTCTCGCCGAGGCCCGCGAGCGAGCTGGACGACGCGGCGGTGAAGCTGCAGAAGTTCTACAAGAGCTACAGGACGCGGAGGAACCTGGCGGATTGCGCCGTGGTGGTGGAGGAGCTGTGGTGGAAGGCCCTCGATTTCGCGGCCCTGCGGCGGAGCTCCGTCTCCTTCTTCGACGACCGCAAGCCCGAGACCGCCGTCTCCCGTTGGGCCCGGGCCCGGACCCGGGCCGCCAAGGTCGGCAAAGGTCTGTCCAAGGACGACAAGGCCCAGAAGCTCGCCTTGCAGCACTGGCTCGAAGCGGTAATTAACTAAGATCCATTTTTCATTCCTCTGTCCCTCTCTGTTAATTAAATTAAATTAAATGAAATCCCTCTTCTTAATCATCTCATTAATTGACAATCAATCGGATGTCTACAGATCGATCCACGGCATCGGTACGGTCACAACCTCCATTTCTATTACGATCTGTGGTTCAAGTCTGAGAGCTGCCAGCCGTTCTTCTACTGGTATGTTGAATTGTTGATTCTCCGACCAGTAAATGATTTCCGGCGACTAGCTACGAGTTTTGAACATCACGATGATGATTTTTTCTTCTTTTGGGGTGTAATAATGACTAGGCTGGACGTGGGAGACGGGAAAGAAGTGAATCTGGAGAAATGTCCGAGGTCGCTTCTTCAACGGCAGTGCATCCGGTACCTAGGACCGGTACGTCGCGCCGGTAACCCTTCATATTCACCGGTGCCGATTGGATCGTCGACTAAATTGGCCTGATTTGTGTTTTGTGTTTGATCAGAAAGAAAGGGAGGAATACGAAGTGATGGTGGAAGAAGGGAAGTTGGTGTACAGAGGCAGCGGGCTGCCGGTGGAGACGACGGAAGGTTCCAAATGGATATTTGTGCTTAGCACTTCCAGGGTTTTGTACGTGGGTCAGAAAAAGAAAGGGGCTTTCCAGCACTCCAGCTTCCTCGCCGGCGGTGCCACCTCCGCCGCCGGCCGCCTCGTTGCTCGCGGCGGCGTCCTCCAGGTAATGACTTGCTTTTTCCCTTTTTGGTTTTCCCTCTCAAAGTTGGTTCTGGGTTTGTTTTCTGAATGTGACACATAAGTTTCCAGCTAAAAATTAACCAAAAAGAGGGTGGATGCTAGTCGAATTCTTAGCCTCGTTACTTTCTTGCTTTGTCGATTGTCCGATCGTAACAAGTTTAATTGATGAGAAACCCCTCGTTATTTTCTTGCTTTGTCGATTGTCCGATCGTAACAAGTTTAATCGATGAGAAACCACTTGGGGGGCTTAATTGGAATTTTGGGTTTGGATCTTGGCAGGCAATATGGCCGTACAGTGGACATTACCAACCGACGGAGGAAAACTTCAGAGAATTCGTAAGCTTCCTCCAGGAGAACAATGTCGATCTTGCCAATGTTAAGGTAAAATCTCGAATAATAATTTTTTTAAAAAAAATTGGCAGTCAGCATAATTAAATTAGTGTCTAGTGTCAGTAATCAGTAATTAACCTTTTTTTTTACGGGCAGAGATACGCCGTGGATGATGACACCGAATACAAAGTCAACGGAGAAGGTGGATCAACACAGCCGTCAAAATCAATGGCGGGAGACGTCGCGTCGTCGGACGTGGCAGACGCAGCCGTGTCGGTCAAGAAGGTGGACGGGGAAGAAGATAGGACGGCGGGCACGCCGCCGATGTTTGACTCGGGGAAGGCCGGCCGGTTGTCCTGCAAGTGGAGCACCGGCGCCGGGCCACGGATCGGGTGCGTGCGGGACTACCCTACGCAGCTGCAATTCAGAGCGCTGGAGCAAGTCAAGTTGTCTCCCAGAATGGCTCCCGCCAGCTTTGGGCCCATCCCTTCTCCCAGGCCCAGCCCGAAGATCAAGCTCTCTCCTAGGCTTTCGTACATGGGCCTGCCTAGCCCAAGGACCCCCACGATTTCTGTAACTAATTGAAAGGGTTAAAAAGTGATTAAGTGATTAGGTAGATTATAGGTGGGAAAGAAACACAATTAGGTAGGGGGAGGGTAGATAGAAATAGGGGTTAGCATGAAATTCATATTCTTCTTTTTTTTGCTTTTTGGTTTGGGACACATGTTTGTTCCTTAATCCTTTCTTTGTTCATTAATTTTATTTATTATTTCTTTTTGTCAAGTACCTTGAATTCATCATAGTGGGGTTATTTTTCCAGCTCACCCAGTGTAGGGTCCTGACTCCTATGGTCATTTGCAATTGTGCAGTGTAATAAAAATCCTGAAGTTGATACTCATCATATTTTCTTCCAAAGATAAGTCAATAAAGCAAACAAAAAAAACCCAGAAATCAGATATATTATAAATAAAATGGTAGTTTGCCTTGGGGTGTAATTCAAAGTGACTTCCCATAAGGTCACCCATCCTTGTTGTACTCCACACTGAGCACGTTTATCTTCGGAGTTCTCACAATAACTCCTCCATTTCACCCCAAAACGTGTCTTGTCAGTTAAGGCCGGTTTCCTACTTATGAACCATGGACCTCTCCCGTGCTTTGTCGATGTGGGATTCGCCTAAGGTGTTACATACACCTCCCCCCTTGGGACTCAACGCCCTCGTTGAGGTTTGCCCCCACCATCGTTCAAGAGGGACGCGGAGAGGCTCTGATATCACTTGTAACATCCCGAACCTTTTCCTGAGCAAGATATTGACCGCTTTGGGCCTCCACCCTCACGGTTTTTGCCTTGGGGTGCAATTCAAAGTGACTTCTCATAAGGTCACCCATCCTTGTTGTACTCCACACCGAACACGTTTAACTTCGGAGTTCTCACAAGAACTCCTCCATTTCACTCCAAAACGCATCTTGTTAGTTAAAGCCAGTTTCCAATTTATGAATCATGGATCTCTCCCGTGTTTTGTCGATGTGGGATTCGCTTAAAGTGTTATAAACAAACACCACAAAGAACGAAGGAGAAAGGGATTGTGAAAAGGAATTGAGAAAGGGAAAAAAGAAAGATAGGAAGAAAAAGAGAGAAAAGGGCGCACAGCCACCTAGACCACGGCCCCAAACCACTACGGTCCGTCGTCGTTCGTCAGTCTCAGTCTTCTTTTCTTCTTTTTGGAGGCTTTCTCTTCCTTCCATGGAACCAGCCGTTGCCACAGAGACGGAGCGAATCCAGCCACAATCTCACTCCCTCACCCCCTCTTCCTCCGCCGCCGCCGCCGCCAGCAAAAACATGATTACTGCTCCGTCGGCACCGGCTCTTCTTCTTCTTCCCCTTCCCCACAATTCCTCCTCTCTTTGACTTCCTTACTTTCCATCTATCACTTCCTTGCTGTAATTAAAATCCGACCCTCCCTTCCTAGCAGGTTTTTTTTTTTTTGGGTTCTTCTTCTTATCTTTACTTACCGTCTCCTATCGCTCGAAAACAGTTGGCGGAAGCAGCTCCTCTGTTTGTTTAGATCTATCCGAATCGGCCCTCCCCCTTTTCTTTTGTCGGTGGGGGGTTGATTATTCCCTGTATATTGTGTCTGTGAACCCTATTCTTATTCTTTCTCTTCACTCTGCTGCTGTTCAAAAACGTTGGATTAGGGTTTCGCTACTCTAGCTAGGGGGGTTTCTTTTCGTTTCTATTCTCCGCGCTCCCGTGGGTTCCTTCCGTTTGTTCTTCTCCGATGGAGCCCCGTGTTGGCAATAAGTTCCGGCTCGGTCGTAAGATCGGCAGCGGGTCGTTCGGGGAGATCTATCTGGGTTCGTCAAATTTATGAGCTTTTACCTCGCTCTGGTTTTACTCTTCTTACTTTTCTGAATTTTGGGTCTGCTTTATCTAACTGGAACTTCACCTCGCTTGTGTTCTTTCAGGCACGAATATTCAAACCAATGAGGAGGTTGCAATTAAGCTGGTGAGTCCTTCTTTCTGACTACTGATTTCTCAAATTTTAAGCTATGCCTTTGATCTTTTCAAACCTTTGACTTGGAACTTCACTCTTGTTGGGTTCGTTGATTTTGCGTTTGTGTAATTAGAGTTGCCTATATCTTAGTGTTGATAGGGGATGCCTGTGGTGGAGCAAAAGCTATCCATGAGAAAAAGTCATGGACGACTACTTTTGACTTGGAAGCTCTAGGAGATGAAATTTTATCTTGTAGCTTGATAGTAGCTGATGTGTGCACGCTACTCAGAGTATGGAGCATTTTGCTACATTTGAATGTTGAAATTGTTTGTTGTAGTCAAGTACTCTAGTCTAGTTACTGTGCAGATTCATTAGAATTGGTGGGTCATTGAGCTAGTTAAGAATTCAATGACGAGATTTATGAGTTGTAATATTCACGTATTTGAGCTAATGACATAATTAGCTTTGGAATATGGGTTAGTTGGCTCATAAAAAAATATGGGTTAGTTGGTTAATGTGCAAAAGTTGACCACGCGCAGTGCTAAGTTTTTCATGGACTTAAAGATTATAAGCGTGTTCTAGTCAAGAGTGTAGTAGTCTATTTGTGGTTCAAGTGGTTTCGCGAGCTCCAAGCTGTTTCTGTGCCCTTTCGCCTAAGCCCGTGTTTTGAAATCGTAAAGAACTTAGTAAATTGATTGTCTGTTGTATACTATTGTCGATAGGAATATTCCTCATGCATGCTTTAACTAGCTCCTAAATGACCCTCATCTGCAAGTTCTACCTGTGGAACATGCATGTCCCTGAGAAAAATTCATCTTATTACCTTTGTTATGATGTTTATCTATCTGTAGGATTTTAGTCCATGTTATCTGGCCTCTCAATGCATGTCTTTAGCGGCTGTTCATGTGCTAATAACTTGTGTCTGTGCTTTCTAGAAATATCTTCTGAATGTGTTTTTGCCTCTTCATGAGACTTTATATCTTGTCATTAAAAGGTAATTCAAGTGTTATGCTTTTTCTTTGTTTCGCGACACTCTTCTTCATTGAATGCATCCATTAACTGAGGTGATTTTTTTATTTGTGAAAGTAAAAGTCATTTTTGGCTTGGCTTGGCTTGGCCAGATCTGTATCTGTACTCTGACTAATTCATCATGTGATGCCTTTTGAAATTTTCGCGCACTTTATTTGAAATCCTTTCGGCTAAAATTGATTGCTTAAGTTGCATGTTGAACAATGCTGTTTCATGATGTGCAGGAGAGTGTGAAGACAAAGCATCCTCAGCTGTTGTATGAATCCAAGTTATACAGAATCTTGCAGGGAGGAAGTAATCATACTTACTGAGATCATAGTTTATTCATTGGTTATTTTATCTGGTTGTATATTTTGAACTGTATGTTTCATCTATAAGACGTGCATGGCTAAAATCTGGCTTGCGTGCTAATCCGTTCTGATATATTTATTTTTGTTTATGCACCAGCTGGTATTCCAAATGTGAGGTGGTTTGGTGTTGAAGGAGACTACAATGTTCTGGTGATGGATTTGCTTGGTCCTAGTCTTGAAGACCTATTTAATTTTTGCAGTCGGAAACTCTCTTTAAAGTCTGTTCTTATGCTTGCAGATCAGATGGTATGCTTCTTTATCTTCCTGTTTTGCTGCAAGCTTCTGTACATGATGACAATTTCGTCCTTATACTGTTTCTTACCTGCTGTTAGATCAATCGAGTAGAATTTGTTCACACTAAGTCCTTCTTACATCGAGACATCAAGCCAGACAATTTTCTGATGGGTCTTGGAAGACGGGCCAATCAGGTTTTTATTTATTTTGGAAATAACTTTCCTACGAGCTCTTTCTTTTCTACAATTGGAAAATTAAATGAAGCTGTCATTGCATACTTGTAGGTATACATCATTGATTTTGGTTTGGCTAAGAAATATCGGGATAGCTCAACTCATCAGCACATTCCATACAGGTCTGCCACTACGTTGCCATCTAAGACCCAAACTGACCTTATTTGTTTCATGGGATGGTTTATGCTACTATTATACTGCTGTAGTATCATGATTCTTACATGTTACCAGTATCTTGGGTAATGTTTTGTTCACATTTACACTGCTTTATCGATACGTGCAGAATGCTTGAGCTACTGCAACTACAGTATCTACAATTAGTTTCTTTTTGTTGCTTATTTAAAATTATTTTACATTCACTTTCTTATTCATGTGGTTTTGATCGTTGAAGCTACTTTATTCCTGCCATTTCTGTTTAGTCAGAATTTGGTTGAAACTTGATGATGGTAACTTAAACGGATGATAAAAATTGCAGGGAAAACAAAAGTTTGACTGGCACTGCTAGATATGCAAGCATGAATACTCATCTTGGGATTGGTATGCACTTATGCTGCTTTAATGTCTATCTTCTTTTAGCTGTACTTTCTTCTCTGATGCTCTTTTTCCTTATCTTTTGGTATTTGACAGAGCAAAGCAGAAGGGATGATCTAGAGTCTCTTGGTTATGTTCTTATGTACTTCCTGAGAGGAAGGTGATTATTGCCCCTATCTCCTGCATCTGATACTATATCCTCCTAGTGCCCGTTCTCATCAGTCAATGTCCTTGTAGCCTTCCTTGGCAGGGACTAAAAGCAGGAACGAAGAAACAGAAGTATGAGAAAATTAGTGAAAAGAAGGTTTCTACTTCAATTGAGGTAAGATATCACACGTTGCTTTTTTACTTGAGTTCATGAAGTAGATCTGATATTCAATGTTTCATCAGGCCTTGTGTCGGGGATATCCAAGTGAATTTGCTTCGTACTTTCATTACTGCCGTTCATTACGGTTCGACGATAAGCCAGATTATGCATACTTGAAAAGAATATTCCGTGATCTCTTCATTCGTGAAGGTACAGTCACTCTTCCTGTCCTGTGTATTATTTTTCTGCTCTTAGCTTTCCGGAGGTGGCTGAGTGAAAGATGGAGTCTGTTTATTCAGTCCTTTAACGGTATTTTGAAATGATGTATGACAGGCTTCCAGTTTGATTATGTCTTTGACTGGACAATATTGAAGTATCAGCAAGCCCAGCTGGCTAATCCTCCTGCTCGTGGCCTTGTAAGTCTTAGTTGTAGCATTTCATTTTATGTTAATGTTAGTCCTTAGCAGGACAGCAGCTTAAAATGGTTTTTGTTTTGCGTAGGCTCCGGGTGTTGGAACTAGTTCTGGAATGCCTCCTATTGCCAGTGTGGATAGACAGACAGGTACTGTTAATGGTAGCTTGTTTAGCATACCATGAGTTTATAGTGTTTTCTTGTGGATTAAGGAACTGGATATATACTACAACCTTGGTCTTTCCTTTTTACTCTTGTCATTAGATCTCGTACTCGTAGAGGTACTACTACTGTCAGCAATGGACAGTTCATTTGTACTCTTTTGGTTATCAGAATTATATGAGTGTGATGTTGTGTTTGTACTTTTTGCCCGTGTCCTGGCAGCTGAAGAGGCACGTCCTGCTGCTGGGCAGTCCATGGACCCCGCTCGACGGAGATTCTCTGGACCAATATTGAACTCTGGAAGTTATACAAATAATAAGCAAAAGAGTCCGGTTGGAAATGATGCTCCTAAGGATCCCATTGTAGGTTCTAAATATGTCGCTTTTTACTTGGTTGCAGATCCAGTTAAAGACAGTTTGACATGAATTGACAGGATCTTATGGTTGATGATGAGTATGCAGTTACCAAGCTCCAACTTCTTGGGTCGATCGTCGAGGCGTGCTGCAGCAGCTGTTTCGAGCAGCCATGGCGATATGTTTGCCGCTGGAAGAAGCGAGTCTGGTGGAGGTGCTGGTCTGGTGAAAGTTTCGAGTGGTCAAAGAAGCCCCCCTCCTGTTGGTTCGTCGGGGGACCCTGCCAGGCGTACATCATCCTCTGCTAGAAATACAACGCAGATAAAGACTACATTCGAATCCGCCCTGAAGGGAATTGAGGGTCTGACTGTTGACAGTGATGACAAAGTTCCATATTAAGAGAGATTCTCTCTATATCTTCTGCAAGCAGGCTGAGGCGGGCAGCTGATAAGCAAGAACTAAAAATTTGTTTGTAAAGCAGGAGGATCTCCAATGATGTGTGCTGTTGTCGCTCAGCTGGGTAGACTAGTTTGGTACAAGGGTGTGATGAGTTTGTTGTTGAAGGTGGAAAAAGAGTGTTAAGGCCGGATTTTATTTCCGGTTTGAACACCCGGGAAGTGCACATACATGAAAATAGAGAGGCAAAGCTTCTGGGGATTGAATTGTTGCTCTCTGCAACAGATGCTGTGTGTAAGCCATTTTAGTTCCAACTATGAATTTGCGCCCGTTTAAACCATCCCAGGTTGATCATATAATTTGCCCTGGTCATCTTAAGCTTTAAATCTTCTCTTATCGTTGTAGTTCCTCCGCGTAAGATTTCGTTTATCCTGCATTTGCTTTTCAGTTCACACGACCATATCCTTGTATCTCGATTATTGGCGTGAGCCAGGTTGCACATTGACAGGTTTTCGGCATCACCGATTCATCAATGTAGTGAATTTGCTTGTTCTTTGGTATTTGCTACTCTGCTCAGTTCTCATAATCAGATTCTAAGATCCTCTAAGCTCTCTTCTGCATTTTTTCACTGTGGCGGCAAATGAGAAATTTGGGGAATATGAATTGTATAGTCCAAACTCCAAACCGTACTTCACAAAACCAAAAGGGGGATGCAGCTCCGTTACTAATTTGTGTTGATAGCTCACTCGACCTTTCTTCTAACTTCTCAATGACTTTCAAGTCTCAACTATAATTTTGTGAATTTTGTCCACTTCTTTATTCATAAACCAAACTTTGTAGCAGAGTAGACATTTTGTCTCACAATTGCCCCAAGAAAGCTGCTACCATCCCAACAAATCAGACGTCAAAAGATAATTTTATTACTTTGCAGTTTCCGATAACATGGAATGGCAAATGGTCAATTCCGGCAACCTGCCTCTGCCGCCGTCTACTTTCCCGTTGCACAAGGTGTCGTGCTCCGCAACAGCCAACTTTCCCATTCCAAAACCCTTGCTTTTCCCTCCTCAGGTGCCCTTTCCTTCATTCCACTTTCTGCCAAAGATCCTCCCTTTTTCCTCCCTTCTTTACTTGGGAATCATACCAGCAAGGAAAGGAAGTAAGGAATCCTTCCATTCCACTTGCAGAACCATACAATTCGCCAGATATGAACCACTTCCTTCTAAACCACAACGATCAATCTGGCAGTCTTCTCAGCTTCATCCAAGATTCTGAGACAAAACCCATAATCGATAGGCAGAGATACTTGGATTGTGAAACAAACCCACAAGCACAAAGAGGGCAATTCGATCGGCTGGATCAAATCAGACACCATTGATGGATTTCAATTTCCAAACTGTAGAGTATTTTGATGACACTAATCATATACTTTATGGTGCAAAAACAGCTTACAAAACACCCAGACAACACAATAGACCAGAGGAACGGACGGCTTACAACAGTTGCACAGAGATACAAACAATCAAAGAAGAAGGAAACCCGAATCTAGCTGCTGCTACTACTACCACCAGCCATGGACGACTCTGGTGTATCGATCCTTGAGCCAGCGGAAGCTCTTCTTGAACGAGCCTTTCACTTTGCCTTCCACCGTGTACACCTTGTAGCTAGCCACCCGCTTCCTCCGCTGCAACTCCGGGTCGTTGAAGCTCCACGTCTTGGAAACCGACCCGTTTGCCGACTTGCCTTTCTTCAACCTCAGGTCCTTGTTGTTGTTGTTGTTGTTCATCTCCAACTGGCCGCCGATTCCGCCGGTCTGAGCCGGGTAGACGGAGGACGCCGCGTAGGAGGCGCTGTAGCACCTGAGATCTTGCATACCACCACCGCCGCCGCCGCTTCCGGCGGCGGTGGGCGGTGGGCCGTAGTGGTAGAGGTCTAGCTGGGAGGAGCGTCCGTCGGCGTAGGATTTGGATCTGTAATCTTCCATTTCGAAGAATTAGAGAGGATCTGAACTGGGTAGCTGTAAAGGATGAAGATTTTTTATCTGGGAGAGGAGGGAGCGGCCATTGGAATTGGGGGAAAAAGGGAAGAAGAATCCTTGAGAAATGGGGGAGTGTTGGCCTCCTCTTTACAGTTAAACATGAATTTTTTTTTCTTTCTATTGGTAATTATTGTTTTCCCCCATTTTGTCCTGTTGTCTTAATTTTCAAAATTTTGACTGAGGGCAATTGGCGCTGACTTCAGTAGGAAGTAGGGGAGAGGAGGGGATGGGAAGGCTAGGCCTGGAAAACGATGCATTGTGGTCTAGATCGGATCGTACATATGGTTTATGGTTTAGATCGCGAGAAGTCGGGAGATAAATCGAGATCATTCCAAAATATTACAAGGTTTATATCATATCACGTTTGTGCGGTCTGGTATGTAATGGCGTGGACCATATAAATCATATTGAACAAAAGATGAACCGTTTCTTTTGTCAACCACATGAAAAATAATCAATAATAACGAAAAAATATATGTTTTTTTCCCCTTACAATATAAATTCTAACACGCATGTATAATTTTGATACCATAAATCCAAATAAATAACAAAAATACAAAGTTAGAACAACCCAACTTGTACCTGTCATAAATGTTGACATAATGTCATATGTGGATACACCATTGTGACGGAGAATGATTTATGAATAAATGAGGAGACAAGATTCGCAAAATTAGGGTTGAGCACTATATCTCGTTAATGAGTCAGGGGAGTGGCTGAGTGAGTTGCCAAATGAAATGGGAAGTGGGTTGGGGGAAAAAATCCCAGAATACGCGAGTTATTAAAAAAAATTCCCTAAATACAGTACTTATAAAAGTAATTTCCAAAATACAGCAGTTTCAACATCACTGTCTTTGTCTAAGACAGTGATGTTGATCACCGCTTTTGTCCAAAGCAGTGAAGCAGCGGGGTACGCATCACCGCCTTGGACAAAAGCGGGGAATGCATCATCGCTGTGGTCAAAAGCGGTGATACGTTCCCCGCTTTTGTCCAAGGCGGGGATTGTATCCCTGCTTTTGACAAAAGCGGGGAACGTATCCCCGCTTTGGACATCAACAGTGAAGCCATCACCGCTTTTGTCCACAGCAGTGATTGCCCCCACGTTTTACACAGCCCTGGTAGGTGGACAGGTAGGTAACAGCTACCTAGCCATCACCGCTGTTGACTAAGGCGATGATGGTTCACCGCCTTTGTCCAAAGCGGTGATTGCCCCCAATTTTTTCCTATAAAAAGCCACGCCCCCTCTTCCCTCCTGCTGCCAAACACTCCTGCTGCCAAACAGAAAATTAGTACCAAAATTATCGTTTTGTTAAGTCGTTTTCGCAGCTGGTTCCTCCGTAGTTTACTGCTCAAGAAACTCGTCGGGATTCGGTATGTTAGAATTATGTATTGTTTACATTTTGATTATGTGCTAGAATTAGGTATGTTAGAATTATATATTTAGATTAATGATATATGTTAGTTAGTTAGTACTGAATTTAGATTAATTTGTTTAGTTATCATGATAGATCGGGATTGAGTATGTTATAAGTATGTATTTTTTACATGTTGATGTGTTAGTAATTATACTGTCTGTATTTAGTGAATTGCGGTTATTGGAAAATATGTTATGATATTATTTAGTTTAATTATGATATGATAGATGTTAGTTAGCTAGTTATGAATTTAGATGAATTTGTTTAGTTTTCTCATAATAGATAAATTAGTTGCATTTTATTATCGCTTTGGATGATATTGTTTTTGTATCCAAGATGTACTAATTATATACTATACTTAATTATTATAAATTGCAGACATGGGTAAATTTAAGAAGTTTCGGCTTATTATTTATTGGAATGGTCGGGTGACAAACTCGAACATTGGGATCGACTATGAAGATGGCGAATCCAGTTCGCTTACAATTGAGTCGAGATTCTCGTGGCAAGAACTCCATGACAGGTGTGCAGAAAGGACTTGTACGGATGGGCAAATGAGAGTTCGTCAAATTACTTACCGGTATCCCAACATGAGTGCTGACGGAGTCATGTACGAAAGAGTTGACATAAATGACGATGACGACGCGAACATGATGACACAGTTCATATCTGAGAACGGGGTGCGGCTTGCAGAGGTGTATGTCGAGACCGAGCCGGTCGGTGAAACTCATTCTCACCAGTATTCTTATGATGATGGTTTTGCAGGAGGGTATGGCTGGGGTGGTAGTTCAAGTAACTACGGAGCAGGTTCTTCTGCCGGAGGGTATGGTTGGGGAGGTACTTCAAGCAACTACGGAGGAGGTAGTTCTGAAGGAGGTGTTGGGTGGGAAGAATACCTGCCACATGGTGGTGAGACTGCCGTCGATATCGTTCAGCCCGACGGTGACCAATGGCCTGCTTGGGGTCCAGAGTGGGGTGACATTGAAAACACCCTTCGAACTGGGCGTACTTCCCATGACCAAGAAGGCGATGCTGGTTATGCTGCTAACGATGACCCTCCTTCGCCGAGCTATCCATTCGCCTCCAGTGACGATGAAAGTGAGGAAGATTTGAGATCAGTCAGTGAGGAGGAAGATGCGGACGATAACGACGATATCGATGACAGTGAGGTGGCGTTCCGACAGGCACCAACGCCTTACTACACAGAGGTTCCTGATCAATTTTTATATGGTCAGAACGATGCCCCTGACTATCGGCCCATGCCTGTGTATAATCCAACTGCTAATTTGGAAGTGGGTATGGCGTTCACTTCGAAAGCCGATGTGCAAGACGCTTTTAGCGAAGAAGCCATGCGGCGTAATTTCGAATGGAAGGTAAAATATTCTGACAAGGGACAACTGCATGTCATTTGTAAGAATGCTGGAGAGGGTTGTAAATTAGAACGACATAGATAGTTCACTGGTTGTCTTCATTTCCCTCCACTTCCCCTTCTCTTCCTCTTCCTCTTCCTCCACGACCTCCTCGGCCCCTTCTTCCGCCCTCTCTACCTCCTCCTCCTTCTTCACGAGCCCGCTGGACAACTGCGCGCGGATTCCTCTTAACCCGACCACCCACCGGAGTGTAGACAGGTGGTGGGGGTGGAGGTTGCTGAGTTGGACCAGAAGTGTGGTAGAAAGTCGATGATGTATGTTGTTGTTGCGGGGTCTGATACTGAGTAGTTTGTTGCTGATGGTGGAACTGAGGGGTGGCTTGGGTGAACATGTCATGCTCCATCGTCGGGGCATAGCTTGACGACCCTCCGGTTCCCTCAGTACTAGTAGCCCACTCACAATGTGGCCATGGTTGAGGAAGTTGAGTTTGTTGAGACGGACGAAGCTCATCAATGTGTTCTCTCACCCTTCTTCTGCTCCTCCGTGGGGGCTCTTCTGGGGGCACAATCCTCTCATCAGCACGGAATGAAGGTCGGGCCGGAGCAGGCACTGGAGGGTATAATATGACATCCCTCCTTTGCTCTCTGGTACAACAGAGCAAGTTGTTGAAAAGCCTGCGCAAAAAAGATGTCTTCCGCTCATCCATGGTGGGTGCACTCTTGACGGTGTGCTTCGCATGCTCCAAACCGTCAACCTAATAAATTGTTGTACAAAATTAACTAATAGTAAATCTAATAATGATTTCTATCATCTAATATAGGCATGTAATCATACTACAAAAATTAACTAAAATTAACTCTAATATAGATAATTAACATTCTAGCTAATATAGGCATGTAATCATACTCCAAAAATTAACTAACATTAAATCTAATAATGTTAATTAACATTCTAGCAAATATAGGCATGTAATTATACTACAAAAATTAACTAACATTAAATCTAATAATGTTAATTAACATTCTAGCAAATATAGGCATGTAATTATACTACAAAAATTAACTAACATTAAATCTAATAATGTTAATTAACATTCTAGCAAATATAGGCATGTAATTATACTACAAAAATTAACTAAAATAGGCCAAAATGGAATTCACTTACCACTGCGCCCCAAACAGCACCTTGCTTTGACACCCATCTTAGCGTGAAGTGCCGATACCACCGCATGTAGCCATCGTGGTACCCCATTGGCCTTGTCTCCGGCGCCCCTTGGACTACCCACTGATTTCTATTCTCCCATATGTTGATGTAGAATTCATGCTTGCGGGTCCAATCCTTTTTGTTGTAGCGTAGGTCAATGGCGTGGAGCTCCCTGAACCCTTGAGGTGGGGATGCTGGAATTGGTTGCTCCAATCGATATTGCCTCAAAGATCGATCGGGCAGGTGCCACTCCACCATGTGCCAGCAGATTAAGGGCACCTTGCACAACCATGTCTCTTGATCCTCGGGATGTCTAAGACGATGCAACTCAACCACTTCATTTGGATATGGATCCCATACCGCCTACAATCATTACAATTCACGTAATTAGTAAAAATTATATCCACTCCACCTAATAAATTGAAAATCATGACATTCAATATTTTTACCTGGTTCCACCAAGGCTTATCAAATTCAGCACGATAAAACAGTAAAGAGTGCTCGGCCTGGTGGTCGTTAGTATTTGCTCCGATCCACCTAATTAAGCAAAAGTACATATATAAGCAATTTTTAAATTAGCTAAATACGATTTGGTTAGAATAAATCCAAATTCACTTACTTGGAAGATATCTAAATTCACTAAAATACTAGAATTGCAGACCTAAAATGTCTCTAAATTCGCTTAGTTGGAAGATAGCTAAGTTCACTAAAATACTATAATTGCATACTTAAAATTGCATACTAAGTTCACTAAGTTCACTAAAATCTAAATTCACCTAACTAGCTACCATTGCATATCTAAAATAAATTCAACTTAAATTGAACTTACTTGAAACCATATGGGGGATTTGCTACAAATCGTAGCTCATCATCTGGCAACCAGAATTCCCGAGGGTCTTGAGGTGCGAGAAACGGAAGATGCTCCCATGCCCAGAGTTGAAGTATGAACATCGCACCACCAGCTTGTTTCGCTCCCAACCTCGAGCAAGTACACAACTCTCGGTAGATTCCAGCCAAGACGGCCGACCCCCAACTTTTTCTCCCGATCTCGTCCCAGTCACCGAGGAGCATAGGGAACCACATGCCTTGTATCCACTTATTTGACTTGTCGGGGAACAGAAACCCACCAACCAAGGCAATTAGGTATACACGTGCATACCGCTCCACCTGATCTTCAGGAGTATCCGGGCCTATATTAACCTCCAATTGGATGTGGTCAACAAGCCACGGGATCGATACTTGCCCCGCATTCAGTGGTGGATGCCCAACCCCTTCGACGGGCGTGGTGGTCGGCATGTTGAACCCCAGACGTTCCTGAATCAATGGCCCCCAACCATCTTCTGGTTTTCTCGAGCTGTCGATGATGGCATCTCCGGTGATCGGGAGCCCGGTGAGGATGGCAACATCTTTGAGGGTGATCGTCATTTCACCCTCGGGAAAGTGGAAGGTATGCAGCTCAGGGCGCCATCGCTCTGCCATTGCCGTCAGCAGATCGTTGTCAATATCTAGCCTCATAAAGTGCCTCAAATTGTGCAATCCCGCCCTCTCTAGATAGGGATGCAGTCGAGGATGCCAACGGGGCAATCGACATGTACCTCGATGACTGATGGGAATAAGTGATTCCTACAAAACAAAAAACACAATATTGTCAGTCAATAGAAAGCAAAATAAAAACTTAGAAAGCAAAATAAAAACTTTAAAACTATTGAAATAATTGTAGTGTATCTACCGGATTATTGTTCCAAATTGAACGAGAGCGATGTTGATCTTGCCCGGTTAAATACCTTCGATCCCTTGGGCCAGGATCGATATACAATCTAGGGTCGTATATCTCAGCACCCATCTATAAAAAAATATGAAATCAAATCAATTTAAATTTTAGCACCCATGTAAAAAAAAAGCACAAAAGAATTAAATAAATTTACGTACTCTCAAAGCCTCTTCGTCCATTTTTTGCCGAAAAGCTAGCGAGAGTATCGACAAAACAACAAAACAAAAACTCTAGTAATTCTTTCTGATGCGGAAGATCGGACTTAGCCGCAACCACAGAGCATACTTAGAACGAAACTAGAGTGAAAAATGGAGGGAGAAAGAAGTATGAAGTGGTGGTGTGGTTTGGAATGAGAGGGGGGATGGGTATTTATAGGGTTTGGGGCTGGGAAAACACCTGGCCAGTTATCACCGCCCCAAACAAACACAGCGCCATCACCGCCTTTGTTGGACGCGGTGATGGGCAGGGATCGCTGACGTGGCCTCTCCTGATGCGTCGGATTGTGGAGAAAAACCACAATCCGCGCATAACTGCATCCGACGGCAGCGGTGAAGGCGCGGGGTGGGGCGCGGATCGCTGACGTGGAAAGCGGGGCTATCACCGCTTTGGTCTTCAGCGGTGAAGTGCCCGCGCGCGTCCACGTCAGCGATCCGCGCCCCTTCACCGCTGTTGGATCCAATGGTGAAGGCTTCACTGCCTGCCACATCAACGGTGATGCCATCACTGTCGTCCTTGACAGCGATGATGGCATCACTGCTTTGGTTCAAAGCGGTGATAACATCACTGCTTTTGTCTAAAGCGGTGATGTATCATCGTTTTAGACCAAAACGGTGATCAACATCACTGTCTTAGACAAAGACAGTGATGTTGAAACTGCTGTATTTTGGGAATTACTTTTATAAGTACTGTATTTTGGTAATTTTTTTAATAATTGGTGTATTCTGGGATTTTTTCCTGGGTTGGGACCATTGTTTAGTACGATAAACCGTGGTCTAGACCGAGCCAGGTAATCAATATATTCTATAAAATATGTTATAGACTAGACAATACAATTCTTAACGGTCTACGTTCCAGACCAAAATGTCCTCAACAATTTTTCGAAATGTCTTGGTCTATTTTCAATCATTAGATTAGGTAAGGCCATCCATAACCTTTTCCTCTTAGTTATTAAATAATGGTCGAGTGGCAATTTTTAAAGCATTAACCCTTCATGTATTACGGAAATGTCATATGATTGATTGGCCATTACCCACTCATTTGATTCGGGAGACTTGGAATGTGGTTAGGATACTCATGAGATAATCATCACCAATTTTAGAAAGAGAATAAGACTGAAGGGCAGAAAACTGCTTACCACCTACAGATATCCAGTTGAAAAACTGTTTTTTCAACATCAAATCGGTATAGAATTTTTATCGATATAAAACGATTAAATTAATCATAATTCTAACAACAAAATAACCTACCACCAACTTATCCGATACCAAACTCCGAAGTATGCGAGGCTTGTTCCAGGAGTTTCGGGTTATTTTTTTGGGTCGGGAATTTAATAGGGATACCCATTTTGTGGCAAGAAAAGCCCTTTCGTTGTCCCTTTCTTTGGTGGGGTTCGATTTTGTTTCTTAGCTATTTTCAGCTATGTGACTCTTTTGTATCTGGTTGTTTTCTCGATAATACGAGTGATCTTTTGGAGAGAGAAAAAAACTCCTAAGATAAGATTTTACAATCATTTGCCTAAAACAGGTAATGCCCGTGCTTTGACCTGTGCTCCAATTTTATCTAGACCATCATCACATCATGCTTCCATTGATTTTCTTCTTTGTATTTAGCCAAGGGACCACAACATTGCAGCAACATTCTATGAGAGGATCAGAGCATCAACACACATTTTGATAGCCTTTCGATTTACAAATTCCCCAGCTTTTGCTAAACCACTAATCCACATCCATCTCCTGCTCTACTTTGGCTTTTCATCCTAATCATGACGGCCAGACACCTTGTTGTTAGCTTTATATGTGCCTCTGCTCTCTGCTGGGTTTCAAAACTGCCTTTGCGTTCCCCAGCGTCTCGAAAGGGATCCCCGTGATATACAGTGTTTGAGAGAGTGCCCGACGAATGACGATTTTACTTCTCTGATGATCACATCTTCATCTTGAAAGAGCGTATATATAATTTCCCGGTGCGAGGCAGCAACAACAGTCAATCAAGTGGAACTGTTCTGTAGATTGTGAAATAGAGCACACCATGTGCTCCAAGTGTTCCCCCTTCAGATTCCATCTTTCCCGTTCCTGTTCATCAGGTCGTGGTAGTAGAGAAGCACACACATTGGTTGGCCAAATATGCAGAACATTGACCAAAAGATCATGTTCCCCACCTGTCAAACGTAAACAAATGTTAACGACCTGAATCAAGAGTGGTTCCTTCTGCTTTTTTGGAGATAACATCTGCAGTTCCCCGTTTGCACACTTATAATCCTGAAAATGGAAGTTTAAGACATTACCATTGAGCTCTTGAACTTCTCCTGAAGAACATTTGTAAGCCAGACAAGTGGGATCTGTCAAGAAAAAGGTTCAGGCATCGTTATGTGTTCAGGTGCTGCATCTCTATGATACCCCGTGCGTGATAATTCAAGAATTCTAAATTCCCTTAAAAATTTCTCCAGACATAAATGGGTACAAGAGTGAAGTAATTAGTTGTGATATGGCTCAACCGTACCTGGAACATAATTCCAAGAAACGCCCAGAGCTTGAAGATGTGGCAAGGAACAGCAATGCACAGCTGCGGATGACAAATATCTTATCTTAGGATGGACACAAACAACATATTATCCAACTGAACAGAGCAGTTCAAAAACGGCATATAGATGAAAGGCAATCGAACATGAAGGGCCATCTATTAGATGGGCAAGCAGGGAATTACACAGTCAACAGGACACCATGAGAGAAAGCCAGTGCAAAATTGGTAATCTATCCTCATAATGTACATGAGGATGCCTACAGCCCATGATAAGGATCCAGTGTTACATTTTGTATCTATAGTACTGAGTAATGGCAACGGCCAATAGTCACTCCTGTTTTGCTTGTAACTTAAAATAAAGTATATGACCTATTGCTATACAAGAAAACCAATGTACCAGGGAGACGGGGTCAGAAAAAATAAATTGCAGGAGGCTCAATTATACCTCATGAAATGCAGCGGAAACAAAGAACGCAATAAATATTGCTACTCCCTGCGCAACGGAAATACACAGTTAGAATATAGCTTTTCCCAAGAATTTGCATGAAAAAACTTCATATTTATCTAGTTGATTGAAATACAACTCCAATATGAGTGCCGGCACTTACCTTGGGGATTTTGTGCCGCAGGCAAGGAAAATAGATATGGCGAACCATCCACTTGTGAACTGGCTGTGATCAGTTAGCAATCAGTCAATACTTATTTCAACAACTGCCGATTGACAGAAGGGATGCAAGCTCAGATGGAGTCTGGAAAAAGGAGAGGAAGACTAGAATATTGAGAAAAGAGGTGTACCATATTCCACATTCTCCAGTACTGAGGAAAGCAGCAAATCCGGGATAATTGCCAACCATACAGAATCAGAATCAGAAGCATTTTAAGAGAAACAAAGAACTAATTCAATGACTGCAAACCCCTACCTCTTCAACAGTTTTCGCATTCCACCAATCTTTATAGAATTCTCGGTCACCAAAACGCAAGAGCTCTGCAAGTATGTTTAACCTATTTTTGCAGCAATGGAGGTAAGGATAACTGAGCTCAGGCATGGATTTTTACACGGGGAAGGGTAAAAAAGAGCATTCACATAGTAGCAAGATGTTATTCAGGGAGAAGTGAGAGACACATAAACAGAGAAAGCTGCATGGTAAAATCACCACCAAGCTGAAAATAGGAACTATTCTCTATGTTACTACCACATGAAACAAGTTGGAAACTAGGAAAGAGAAAAAGGGGAAAATCATTGTTCTTGGTCTCAAGCTATTAAACAAATGTTTAAAAGGAGATACACTGATAGGTTAATAATAATGTCTGGGTTTTAAAAATGCAAGGGTGGAGAAATATACAACATTAACTCTAAGAAAGGAAGACACCCGTAGGATAAAAAAGTAAAAAGACACTAGCATATTTTCACTTAAGGATTGATTGATTTTGATCTGACAAGCTGATAGAAAAGAAAGATAAATTTTCATATGGAGGTTGCCAAAATAGATCCTTTGTTTATGTTAATGCATTACAGCAAACTAGCTAGTTTGGATGCAGGCAAGAACATGACAACATGCAATGCACAGCGGGCACGATACTGACGGAACATAAATCATCAGAAACTTGATTAGAAGGAGAACCTGCAGTACCAGGGAATAAATAAAAGTAAACTCACCACAAATGAAAGAAGCAGTAGAACATGCACAGCCACACATACAAGTTTGGGACTGAAAGCTTCAAAACCCTCTCAATTCCATACAAGAGATTCCCTTTAAAAGGATGCTGTGAGTTCTGGATAATAGGATTAATGTACTGCAGAACCAACCACATGGTATGAAATTAGTGGAAAAGAAAAGGGAATTGAAAGCTAACTTCAACACTGAGCTTCTACTCGCCTGTTCAATTATAAATCCCATTAAACCAGTAAATATCACCAACTTGATGAACTGGCGAACCACCCAACCTTTTCGGATAGATGGTGTGCGAGGATAGCTTGGCTGAAAATTACAAATCATAACATAAGAACTTGTATCAATATCAAGGATAGGGAGAAGCATAACTAGAACTAAAACCAACACTCCTGAGCTTGGCAGTTTATACGCCACCTAATGAACAGCGCAGATTTTAAAAATGTTCTCACCAAAAACACAAGTATACTACAAATGTGCACTGGCAGAAAAAAAAAGGTATTAGAAAAAAAGAATTCGAAATGCTTAATAATCTTCTTCCAAGCAAGTTGAGCAGTATTGCAATGGAGGTTAACCATCCAGTACTAGATATGGCAACAGCGTCTCTTTTCTATACACCAATTGTTTTTCATTTTCAGCTGTGTCCCCCCTATACTTTCTCTTCTCTTATGTTTTTAACAGGGGGAGAGATAACCTAAGTTCTAAGCAATCAAAAAGGCCGAAGAATCCATACTCTGTTAGCAGGTCAAGGACTTCTTACCTGATAACATAATGTAGGAGCAATCATGAAATATACCAAGCTGTTGAAGTTAACATCATAAGAATAGTCCACATTGAGAGCAGCAGAAGGAGCTTCTCCCTGCAATCAAAGCGGCCAATTCGGAATGAATATTTGTGTAACAAGATTGGGGCAGGACAAGAACATGTATTTGAACTGCTATTGTTCTTTTCCTTCCATCTGTTCACCTGACAAAGTGGAACAGGGAAGATTGGCAAATTGATTACATAATCTAAGGAATACCAGAGGATACGAATTAGTCAAACAAAAATAACATAGATTGCATTTAAATTAACATTGAAAGGGCAACAACATGAGATATCTGATGATATGTGATGAGCACCAGGGCCATAATCAGAGTACACCAAGCTAATGCCAGATAATCAGATTAACTGTCGCAATTAACAAAACATCACACTAGAGTAACGGATACAGAATGTAAACCAAAGAAGGAGAAGACAATGAAATTGATACCTTTTCAAATGACTTGGCAACTGCCCTCATATCATAGTTCGTATGAGCATATGAGACCAATTTCAACCATACAATGCAAGCAAAAAGCATCAATGTCACACCAGATAAAAATGCAGAGTCACAGCTGCAAAAAAGAAAACATCCACATTTCCAACAATAAGCAAAAATGCTAGGAACAGTTTAATGGCTGATGCACGATCATTGTTCCCTAAGAAGTGCAGCTATGCTAAACATGTGAAGATCAGGTGATTCGACATAATTGAGAGACAGTTAGGTTTGCTTTTGGGAACATAAACACTACCTAATTTCGTCAAACTTGAAATTATCAAACTCATAACAGCCCCTTCTGTATCTGTTATTGTGGGACTGCAAATAAATCCTTCAATTCTATCTTGCATAAATCGACAACAAAATTAACAACCATGGTGCATTATGTTACGGTTTTCTAGTTGCACACTCTATGACATATCCAACTCTCTTAACACATCTCTTCGTGGAATATCTCAACAACATTAACAGACAGGTGACGGACCTGCCACAAGCCCACAAAAATGAAAAAAGCAATGGTTTTTATAAGGCGAAGTGATGAAGACAAACCTGAGAATCACTGAAACAGGGTACACAACTGCTGCCACAGAGATGAGTATATGAAGGGAAACAACTATCTGTAATAGCAAGAGACAAGTTGTCACTACTAGTCAGTGGGTTCAACAAGCTATTCTTGAGAAGGGATTTGCGAAAAATTAGCTCCATCATTCACAAAAGAGCTGAATACTTACTGGTTCAGAAAGATACTTGCGATACGCAAACTTTTCAACTAGATATGCAGCAAAAGCGAACAGAGGAAGGGACAGACTGCAACAAAAGAAACCCACATCAAGCAACACGGTTAATCTTCCATCCCAAAAGAAAAGAGCAACACGTCTGACAACCTAAACAACATGTTGGTTACAGCAAATGGGATCAATATGAAACATTACCAGCACATGAAAAGGGGCCAATCTCTCAAGGATTTCGAACTAAACCAGAATCCTGTCCTAATCAACCAACCATACTGCCAAAGCATAAACCGAGAACTATAAGAAGAGTGACGAAGAGTGGTAATGTGAAGTTCAACATGACTTAACAAACAAAGAAATGACGAAGAGTGAAATGGACAAACCTTCATGAGATTCTCGATAATGAGCCTGCTGTTGACTGCAACCAGCACTACAATACAGAGGTTGAATAGGCCTGCATGGCTCTGACAAATTGAGGGGGGAAGGAGCAAAAGAAACAAAGAAAACAACTAAGAGCAAGAACGACCAAATGAAGAGCTAAGAATCCAGAAAAGTAAAGGAGAAATCAATCAATAGTTTGATTCCAACACTGTGCTTGCCAGTAGGAAGCTAACCCTAAGCTCTGTCCCAATAGTTCCCCACTAACCCACTTGTGGCATTCATTATTGCTTACTGCGAACAATATTAACGGAAAGCTGGTCAAATGCAAACGAATCTCTGCCAGACCACACGCCTTGCAGCAGGTGACAAGAAACCAAAGCATATAGAACAAATGTTCTCCACTATTACCAACCAATGTAGCAATTCTAGTTCATAAAACGCTGCTCGCTCGATAAGGAATGTGACTAGAAAACGTTTTCTGACCTGCTTAAAAATGGCGCCGGAACTAAGGGGGCTCTCCTTAACCACAACGTGAGCCGGCCTGGAAGGGCGGTACGTGAATTTGATATCCGATCTAGCAACTTGACCGTCCCGACCGTCAATCACCTTCTCAGCTCCGGAATCGGTCGGTGGCCCAGGGGGATTCACGGCGGCGGAAGAAGAAGCAGGTTCGTCGGCGGGCGGCCGGTGTCGAAGGCCGTTGAGATCGGAAGAGGCGGCGGCGGCGGGGTTTATGTGATTGTTGTCGGGGGTGTCGAGCACCGCCATTGGAAGAGAAAGAAGAAGAGGAAGCAGCGGGGAGAAGCGACGAAGCAGCAGCGGGCAAAGGAGAGTAGAAAAAGAGAACGGGAGGGAGGGAGGGAGAGGAAGAGAATCCGAGGACGTCAAGGCTTTGATGGAGATGAGGTGGCGTTCATGCAGAGGCGGTGGCTGGCGCCGGATATGGCCGCGGGAGGTTTATCGGGAATTGTTCGTATGGCTCAGAGAAGAGGAGAATTCAGAGTTTTGAATCAGAGAGAGAGTGGGAGAAGAAGACGATTTCGCCACAAGAGGGAAGGGGAAGACGGAAGAGGGTAACCATAAAAAAAAAAAAAGACGGAAGAGGGTGATGGGCGCGTGAGAAGAAAATTTAACAAAATTTAACGCTACGAATCTTTGAAGTATATTAGATTATTATTATTAAACCTCTTTTCCTTCTAAATTAATGGAAAAGAATGAATAAATAGAAAGAAAGAGGCAGCTTCTGGAGTTTATAGGTCGGTACAGGAGGTTTGTTGTGTCATTAAAATGAATGTCACGTGTGATATCTTTATGAAAAGATGTCACATAATGATATCATGTTGTTGTTAAGTAACGTATTATTAATTGTGTTGATTTTTTTTATGGTTAATTAAAAATTGCATTGAAGCGGGGAGTTGCAACTCGCAAACTCCCTCTCAAAAGTAACAACTGTGTCTGTGCTTATACAATCATCAATCTAATAGCAAAAACTAAAAAGACAAACTCAGACAATATCATCTCCGAGACTTGAGCAGGGGAGGCAGCTCGTGAACTTCCATACAACCTGGAGTTCCTTTCCCTCAAAACAGCCAACAACAGCCTTATCACTCGACATCACCCACTGTTGTTCAGCCCACTGCAACTGGGAACTCCAATCTGCAAACTCAGCGAATGCACAAACATCCTGCAAAATTAACTTGAGCACTGCTCGCCCAAACGAACCATCTCCAAACAGGGGAGCCCGGCTTTCAATTCCACCTGGACATAGGACACGGCAAGGATTACAAGCTAGTCCCCGACCAGCCACCTTATCCTTAGTCCTGATCCTTCCAAGTACAATCAACCACAAAAGCACGTTGTGTTTAGGATAAATAGGCTTATCCCACACAAGGTGATGCCATGAAACAATAGGGGAGGGTTCTCTAATAGATGACCAAACAAGCTTGACAGAATACTTAGCAAGCATCTTACCATCCCAGTCCAATGTGTCCCCTGAACCAATGACAAGAGACTTGAGTTTTATTCTGCACTTCAGAATTTTCCTCCAAACCCATGAACTCACAGAGCTAGTCGAAAGGAGCCATAAACTCCTTCCTTTAATTCTATATCGATTCATCCACGCCACCCACAAAGACCCCTAGCCTCGGCCAACAGATTCCACAAATGGCGAATCACACAAGCCTTGTTCCAATTTTTAAAGTCTTTGATACCTAAACCTCCTTCTTGTCTCGGGAGAACAATCTCCGACCATGCTACCAATGCTTTCTTCCTCTTGTCACCATCAACATCCCACAAGAACTTATTGCAAGCATCCTCAATCATCTTTAATACCTTCATTGGAAGCAGAAAAACTGACATCCAGTACTGAAAACACTAGTGATAAAAGATTCAATCAACTGGAGATTCCCCGCATAACTCAAGGTCCTAGCTTGCCAGCTTGTGATCTGTTTTGTGATCTTGTCAACTAAACATTGGCAATTAACAAAAGTCAGCTTACCTAAAAGTAGTGGGACTCCCAAATACCTGGGATCGTATGGATCAGGAAATTGATTTTGAGGGATTTTTCAAGGATTTGATCTCAAATCTCTGATTTAAAAACCTAGATAATTTTAATGAGGAATTTGGGCCAATTAACTTGTTTGGTAATACATTAGGAATTTGGGCTCAAAATGCTTATCTTCTTCCTCCTATCCCGATATCTCTTGCTGAACGAAACATTGACTGGAACGCCGGCGACCTTGATAATTTGGCGACCGCCGTGACTTCGTTAATTGCCAGTGAACTCGCGGAGGACCGGCGACTATGCTAAGGCTAGTGAACTCACTCAATCCGGCAGAGGAACACCTTGAACCCATTCGACGGAGAGCGGCGCCGGTGAGCATCAGAACTAGAGACGTAGAGCGGCGCCGGTGAGAATCAGATCTGGGAGACGTTCGCTCACTCTCCTCTTTCTCGACTCTCATCGTCGCAAAGAACCAGAGATGAGAGATGTGGCTGCGCCGGTAGCTCTAGATCTGCCTCCCTTCCCCTCTCTTCGTCGTCGATGGGACCCAGAAATCGATGTCGGCTTCGGCAGGAGCTTGGAGTCTGCGGCAGGTTTTGCGAGATGCCCATGACGAAATACCCGAAACAGCCCACCTGGAAAATCCCTCTATCGATTTGAGGAGATCCCCCAAATCAGGCCGCCATTGTTGTTGTAGATCGGAACTAGTCAAACTCCGTTGAAATAGCCGACGAGATGAGCGTCGTAGCCTTGCGAGCTTGCTTGATCTCGTACAGGGACATAAAGGAAGAAGGGAAGGATCGCAAGGAGGAACTGGTATAAGAGGGGCAGAGATTGGGAAAAAATTAAATAAGATGAGGGATTTAGAAATACTTGGGGGTAATTAGCTATTTCAAATTTCTTAACATCAGGGTTTTCAAAATTCCTATTGCTAAAATACCTAATTCTTTTATTCCTATCCAAACGAAGGATTATGATAAAATCCATAATGACTAGAAATTGTGGTAGAATCCCTGCACAGATTCCCTAATCCAAACGACCCCTACTGGTAGCTCGCCAAGTGGGAAAATTTTGGTGGATTTATTAGTAAACAAATATAGGTGGTGGGTCAAGTTAAATCTTTTTGTTGGGACTAACGATGATGATTCAGATCAAACTTATTGGACTAAACCCGCCCTAACGCTTTGGGGTATTGACTTTTTTTGATAATGGTGATGAAATTTATTGCTAGAAGAGAAGAATAGCACACTGTACAGACAAAGGAGATCACAAGGCCTGATCTCACAGTGCCACAAACGAACTAAACAGCTTAAAAAGAAAGAAAGAAAAAAATAGACGAAAGCGACAATAAGACCAGGCAGGAGCGCCAAAAGACGACAAAGCAAAGCAGACCAGACTGCTCCCACTTGTCCAAAAACAAAAAGAAAAGGAAGAAGAGAAAGACCCAAAACATAGCAGAAACAAGTCCAAACTAATGGGTCACAAACTCTGTTTCTAGACTCAACTCCACAACCATCAACCAGAAGGAGATAGAGGCAGCAAGCCAAGAAACCCTGGCAAAAGATCCTGGAAGTACAGCAAACAAACTCACCCCCCAGCAGCAGTGGACAGCAACCATCAAAACCCGAAACGGCATGGACCATCACGGATACATCGAAGACACAGCACTGGACAAGCTTCAAGCAAGATCAGGGTGCCCGATCCAGACAAGAAAGAGCCACGACGAGCCAGGGGAAGCAGATCCTCAGCCAGGGGAAAAAAATCATCACACCCGCCGCGTCTACCAACGCCGACAGCCAAGTCCCCGCGCATCAAAACAGACCCCGAAGGGAAATCAACAGGCGCAAATCCACCCAGCACAAAAATTATACTAATCCCTTATCTATCAGCCAACTCCTCCCTTCTGCTTTCTGCGCCTTACCATGTACCACAATCCATTCGATCGCCTTCCTCGCTGCCCTTTTCCCCACCACCGACCAGCAGGTTTCTTTGTCTTCGAATGTCCTCTGATTCCTCTCGAGCCACACGGCCCACCAAATGGAATGAAGAATACAACCATCAAACCACTTCTCAATTCCGTCTCCGTCAGCAGAAACCCAATTTGCAAGAACTTGGACAATCAACCCGTTCCACCTCGGTGACCTACTCCTCCTGCCATACATCATAATCCAGATACTCCTCACGAAATCACATTCCACAAGCATGTGCTGAACATTCTCCTCCTCCTTCTTGCATAGCACACATTTGTTAGCTAAGGACAGGCCTCTTCTCTTTAAATTGTCAAGAGTTAGCACTCTATTATGGTATACGAGCCAAGTGAAGAAGCAAATTTTACTCGGAATCCACGAAATCCACACAATCTTCGCAGGAAACTCTTCGATCTCTCTTGAGTGACTGCCGACCAGCTCCATATAAAGCGATTTCACCGAGAAAATAGAGTTTGCCTCTTGTTTCCAAAAGACCCTGCACGGACTATGAGAAGAAAGCGCCAAATTCACAGAATTTAAAATATTTAAAAGATTATCTCTCTCCCTCGCTGCCCCCCCCCCCCTTAAATTATACTTGAAATCAAAATTCCAACTCACTAACTCACCCTGGGTATTAGCAATGTCAGAAAGCCGGGCTTTAGGGTCAAGGACAGCAGCAGCGACGCGCGGAAACGAAGCAGCCAGCACTATCCCCGGGATCCAACAATCGTACCAGAAGGAGACTTGAGTACCATTACCCGGATCAATAGTAGCAAAGTTCCAAAACAAATCATATTCTTTACTGATGTTGGCCCAAACCGACCTAGAGAACCCGAGCCTTTCCCTCTTAGTCTGCCAACTCGATAAATCGTTCGGATATTTAGAATTGATCAAAACTCGCCACCAGCTGTCTCTTTCAGTAGCGAATCTCCATAACCATTTCGATAACAAAGCATCGTTGAAAGTCACTAAGTCGTGAATGCCCAGCCCTCCCTTCTTCACAGGCGATTTACACCACTCCCAATCTATCAAGGCCATCTTGTTACCCTCCGACTTTCCGCTCCAAAGAAACCTCCTTTGATATCTTTCAAGATCCTTAATGACAGATTTCGGGGCCTTGAAAAGAGAAAACAAATAAGTTGGCGAGCCGGAAAGGACCGCATTAATCAGAACTAGCCTCGCCCCGTAAGACAACTTTCTACTTCCCCAGCCATTAAGTCTGTTTTGATATTTCTCCACAATTCCATCCCAAACCGAGCTGTCATTAGGTTTCGCACCCAGAGGGTAGCCAAGATACTTCGGAGACTCACAACTCCATTTGCACCCGAAAATCGCAGCGAAATATCTCGGTTCAGCAACGTCCCCAACCGGATACATTACTGATTTATCCAAATTAATCCGCAATCCAGTCACGGTTTGGAACAGCACAAGAGTAGCCAGAATATTCAGAACCTGATCATGGTTCGCATCACAGAAGATAAGGGTGTCATCAGCATACAGCAGATGAGTAACTTCCCCGATCTTCTTCCTCTCGTCCATGAAGAAGCCTTCGAACTTCCCGTTATCTCTCACTTTTTCCAGCATCAAGGATAGCACATCCATCACCATCACGAACAGACCAGGGGATAAGGGGTCCCCTTGGCGAAGACCTTTGGAGACCGGGAAAAAACCATTAGCTTCTCCGTTAATG